CACTGTTAAGCAGGGAGAGAGAGAAGGGCTGCGCTCATATGTCAGGCGGTTCAACCTGATTAGAATTCAGATTCAGGGGTTGTCTGATGAGGTAGCTTTTACAGACTTTTTTCAAAGGTCTGAGAGACGGGTCGACCTTTAAGTTCGACCTAGTCAGAAAAGGGGCTTTCACCCTGCAGGCGGCCGAGGGAGGCGGAAAGCTACATTCAAGCTACCGACCTTTGCTCGCCTGGAGGCCAGTCGGACTCTAAGAAGTCTGACAAGCAGAAAGACAACCGGCCTGCTCAGCCAGCCAAAAGGAAAGAAGAGAGCAAGAAGAGGAAAGAGGTCTGGGCGGTTGGTGACTCTGATCAGCCGTCCTAGAAGAAGAAGAAAGAATTTAAACCGTACGCCCCAAAGTACGAGTTTAATAAGGACTGCAACTCCATCCTCATGGAGATAAAGGACCGGCTGTCCCTAGAGAAGCCGAATCCAATGAAAAGTTCCTTTCAATCCAGGAACAAAAATAAATTTTGTCAATACCATGAGGAAGTTGGCCATGACACCAACGACTGCTTCAGTCTTCAGCGGGCATTGGACCGTCTGACAAAGGGCTGTTGAAGTCCTACATTTCCAAGTCCCCAGCCGGGGCAAAAAAGAAAAACAAGGGTCAGTCCTCCAAGACTACCCCCCAGCCTGCTAGTAGCTCGGATACCGACAAGGAGCCGGTCTACACTATAGCAGGCGGGTTCTCATGTGGTGGCCCTACCATCCGGGGCACCAAGAGCCATCTTCGAAAGATGGACAAAGAAGATGATGAGCAGGCGTCTGCTAGCTCTTCCTTCCCAGACGTCTTGATCACTGAGAAGGATAGGGGCAGCGTCCGCTGCCCTCATGATGACCCGGTGGTCATTGAATGTAAGGTTGCCAACCAGCTGGTTGGACGGATCCTTATAGACACCGGTAGCTCATCAGACATCATCAGCCTCCGGTGCCTGCAAAAGCTGAAATACAATGTCAGCAGCATGCATCCGGTCACACACCCCTCCGGCTGGGGGAGAAAGGCCAGGGACGACATATTGTCGTCAGATTCTTGGTCGTTGAGGAGTTGACTGCCTACAACATCATCCTTGGCCGGCCAACTCTCAACGTAGCCAAGGCAGTAATCATCCCATCTCTCATGCTCATCAAGTATGAGAGGGATGACGGCACTGTGGGTTCCCTGAATGGGGATCAGAAGACGGCCCGGGAGTGTTATCTCTCAGCCGTCCGAGATACCGTGGCCCCAAGCGGTCAAGAACCCATAGACCTTGACAATGTCAAGGATGCCGACCCAGCTCCTGCCCCACCAGCAGCCGAAAAGAAAAGAAAAGCACCTCTGCTGGTGGAGGTGAAGAAAGAGAAAAAATAGCAATCATTGGCCGGTGAACGGTCAGATGAGCTCCGTCCCCAACCGGCTGGTGCAAGCATTGATCTTGTTCTGGATGACGGCCGTCCGGAACGTACTGTAAAGGTTGGGACGGTTGCTCATGCTACTTTGGGTGCAGACTTGCACCTTGTGCTGAAAGAATTCAAAGACATTTTTGCCTTTGAAGTGGAAGAGATGCCAGGCGTCAGCCCGGATCTTGCTGTCCACAAGCTCGCCGTGGATCCTAAAAAGAAGCCCATCCGACAAAAGAAAAGAAACCACGGCGAGGAAAGAAGTCAGGCGGCAGCTGCCGAAGTCAAAAAGCTCTTAGACGCCAGGTTCATTCGGCCTTGTAATTTTCTCGACTGGGTGGCCAATGTGGTCCTTGTTAAGAAACCGAATGGGACCTGACGCATGTGTGTTGATTACACGGACCTCAACAAGGCGTGTCCAAAGGAAGTTATCCGCTTCCAAAGATCGACAGTCTGGTCGACTCTACAGCCGGTCACGCCTTGATGAGTTTTATGGATGCCTACTCCGGCTTCCATCAGATACCCCTGTGGAAGAAAGATCAAGAAAAGACGACCTTCGTCACTAATCAGGGGCTATTCTGTTACACGGTGATGCCGTTTGGCTTGAAAAATGCGCCGGCTATATTCTAACGGATGATTAACACTGTCTTTGTTAATCAAATAGGGAGGAATGAAGAGGCATACATTGATGACATGATAGTCAAATCCAAACGGCAGACGGATCACCTTGCTAATCTCCGAGAAACCTTCACCACACTCAGGCGGCATAAGGTCATGTTAAATCCTAAGAAATGCGTCTTTGGTGTTGAGTCTGGGAAGTTTCTCGGATTCCTGATTGATCAAAGGGGGATAGAGGCTAACCCTGAGAAGATACAGGCGGTGATTGACATGAAGTCACCCCGCACTGTCAAGGAAGCATAGAGACTAACCGGTTGCCTGGTTGCTCTGGGGAGGTTCCTCGCCGGTTAGGTGACAAATGCCTTTACTTCTTCCAAGCAATCAGGAAGAAGACCAGATTTGAATGGGGAGATGAGGCTGAGGCGGCCTTTCAACGGCTGAAAGAACACCTCCACTCTTTGCCAAGACTTGTTAGTCCATTGCCTAGGGAGGTGTTATATATGTACTTAGCCGTCTCAAATCATGCTCTCAGTGTCGTGTCGTTCTCCTTGCTGAGAGAGACGGTGTTCAGCTTCCGGTCTATTTCATTAGCCATGTCTTAAAAAATGCTGAGCTCCGGTACCCCATGGTAGAAAAATTTAGACTGGCTCTGTATATGGTTTTCAAGAAATTGAAGTCATATTTCTTGGCTCATCCGGTGGTAATCTACACCGACCAGCCCCTCAAGCGGCCAATGTCTACTTTGGAGTCATCCGGAAGAATGTTGAAATGGGCTATTGAAACGGCACACTTCCTGATTCACCACAGGAAGCAGCCGTCCTGAAGAAGCGAGCCGCAAGCTTCGAGTTGAAAAATGGAGAACTCTTCTAGGCAGGATTTCTTAAGCCCCTGTTGAAGTGTGTCACCCCAGAAAAGGGGAAGGAAGTTCTCGGAGACTTGCACTCGGGATTCTGCGCCTCTCATATAGGCTTACTTTTAGCCCACTCTTGAGGCAGACGCCAAGGAATTGGTGAAGAAATGTGACAAGTGCCAAAAGTTTGGTAAACTCATTCACCGTCCGGCTACTGATCTGACGGCCATCCACAGCCCAATCCCGTTTGCAAAATGGGGCATGGAGATTCTAGGTCCTTACACACCTGCTCCAAGCGGAAAGCGTTACATCTTGGTGGCTGTGGATTATTTCACCAAGTGGGTGGAGGCTGAGGCGGTTAAAAACATCAACACCTCAGACGTAATTTCCTTCATTTGGAAGAGCATCATCACCCGGTATGGGGTACCTATGTCTATGGTGTTTGATAATGGTCCTCAGTTTGAGACGCCTCAGCTAAAAACTTGGTTGGGGGATCAGGGGATCTCAAGCTATTTTGCATCTGTTGGCCGGCCCCAAGCAAACGGCCAAGTTGAAGCCTTCAACAAACTCATCTCAGACGGCATTAAAAAGAAAATAGAAAGAGCCGGTGGCTTATGGGCAGAAGAATTAATCCATGTCCTATGGGCCATCCGGACAACAGCCAAAGGGGCAACCGGTGAAACCTCATTTCTCATGGTTTACGGTGCTGAAGCCGTCTTGCCCATCAAACATTACAAGCCGACTCTCACAGTCATGCTGTATGATGAAGAGGCAAACTGGGAAGCAATGCGCCTGGCATTGGATTCACTCCCAGAGCGCAGGGGCAATGCCGCCTTGCGTCATGAGATTTACCGTCTGAAAATGACTAGAGCCTACAACAAAAAAGTACACAAGCGTCCTTTGAAAGTTGACGACTTAGTGTTACGGAAAATGGAGGCAACCGGTAGGGCCAATGAGCTGGGAAAGCTAACTCCAAATTGGGAAGGCCCCTACCGGATCTATGAAGAAGTAAGGGATGGCACCTACCGCCTGGAAACTCCAGAAGGCAGGCGTCTGCCTAGAACTTGGAATGTAGACAATCTAAAAAAGTACTACCTCTGAGAATGTAAACTTTTTGTAAACAGTGAGTCAATTAATGAAGATTCAGACTTTGTTTGCAAAATTGAGTTATCGTTTGATTATCCATCCGGGTAATATCCAGGCGGATTCCCCATTTGCCTAACTAAGTTCGATACTTAGTGAAGGTTACATTTGTTTATCCGCCTGGGTAATACTCGGATCTCTTGTTTATTTAAGTTTGATACTTTGTTTATTCAACTGCTTGACTATCCGCCTGGGTAATACTCAGACGGATCCTCCACTTATCTAACTAAGATTGATACTTAGTATGATCAAATATTTGCCTGTCCGTCTGGGTAATACCCAGACAGACTCGTTTGCTTAAAAAACTAAGTTCAATACTTAGTGTAAATTCAATACTCCGACTAAAAACTAAGCGCAAAAACGTTTAGTGGCTATACAACCGGTCTCAAACAAGGCCAGAGGCTAAGATGGCCGGATGGTTGCTCATTTTATAAAATCGCCTGTCCCAACATGGACAAAGGCGTCCGGCGACACCCCTCCGGGTGCAATCGTCGCAGAGAACAGACTATTTGTCGGTTCTACCCATGCAGACGACAAAAATTGAACGACCAAATTGGTCAAATCATAGCCGTCTGACCAAAATAACCTAGGAAGAACGAATAAGTTTCCAGATACCGGATGCCCATAGGCATCAGTCGGTCATTGATAAAGATTCTTGGGTTATTTATTCCAAAGTTGCACTCACTTCCCTATTGGGGCAAAGGATTGTGTAATGGCTACGCGTTAACCCCAGATGGAATATAACCGCCTAGGTAAGAAGCTCAAAGCACCCGCTTTTATGGCCGGCTGTGCACTTGGTTTGGGGCAATCACCATTGTGATTGATTGGCCTAAAAACACTCCATACTTCTCCAAGTATCAAGTGTTTTCAAGCCAATCAATCAGCCTGACATAAAACCAACCACACAGCCGCCCAGGGGCAAGAGCACCCGGATTGCAAATTGCCGCATGCTTTTTTAAGTTAGGCAAAATACTAAAGAATTGCATACACATAAAAAATTCAAATTGAAAAAACTCAAAACAGACATATATAAAATCCGACTGTGTCGGAATACTTCATTTATATTTGAAATGGCATAAAGGCCAGAATAATTGTTAACCGGACACATCTGGTGAAGAAAGAAAGTGGAAATGTTAATCCAACCCCATGGTTGGTAAAAAGATAAAACAAAACACGGCATGCAAGCCGGTAAACAACATTGATTGGCATATTGCTGCAGAAAGGTGGGAGGCTCGCCTAAGGCTGAGGCGGAGTCTTCTCTGGCTGAGTTTGGCTGGCTTGGCCCTCTTGATGATCATCCGCCGGCTCCTCATCATCCGAGACTTCATATCCCTCCTCAGCAGCCCAGTCTTGGAAGCGAGGCGGAGGAGCATCACCCAGTTGCTGGGCATCATACACCTCAGTGGCATAATCATACCTCAGCTTATAGACCTCAAAGTCTATTTCTAGGTAGAGGAGGCCCCTCTTCAGCCGGGCCAAGTTGTCCCGTTCATTCTCCTCAGTCAGCCGGGTCTGCTCCTGGGCCAGCTCATCCGACTGCTTGTTGCGCAAGGTCATGAGCTCAAGCTTTAGGCGGTCATTGTCAATCCGGAGTTGGGGATTCTCCTTGTCAGCATCTTCTAATGCCTTGAGATTAGATTTGGCATCTTTCAGCTGCTTATCAAGGTCATCAGCCCGGTTGTTAGCTTCATCGTTTGCAGCCGTCAAACTCCGGATCAGCTCCTCCTGTTTCAACTCTACTGCTTTAATCTTTAAATTACACATATAATCAGAATGTTCAGCAAAGTTGAGGTTTTCTAGGGCCCTCCGTTTGGCGTCATTTACCTCTTCTTGCTTCCGCCTAAGGGACCCGGAGATTGTCCACTCTCACCATAGCCTGAATCAATAACAGCCGGTTTATGAGTTACTTAGTCAGAATAAAGATTAAAGACATCAAGATAGAGGAATCTTGTACCTCAGCCAGAGAGCCCATTATCCGGTCAAAGTCCACGACCTGCAGATCAGGTACGGAGGCCTTCTCAGACCGGGTGAGGGTCCTCACCATCCGCTTCGCGAAGCCGGCGAGATCCGGCGGGTTAGGAAGCAGATCTGCATCAAAAGTAGTTCTTTGTGAGATAGAAGCAGCGTAGCTGGCATTCATTCGTTGCCGGCTGACCCTTTTGAAGAATCAACCTTAGTCTTAATTCTCATAAAATTAAGTGGCCAAGGTATTTCAGTTCGTTCCTTACCGTAAACTTCCGGATGGGTCTCCGGCTTGTCCTCCCCCCAGCGGTTGCCGCACCGCCTGCAACCTTAGGTGGCTCGCCACCCTTCGAAGCCGTAGAGGCCTCCGGCGCTTTCTGCTGTTCTGAGCTTTCACTCAGTTTCTTCAGAACAGCAGGGGGATTTGCCCCCAGTCGTTGGACGACCAGATTGGGCAGAACTTTGCTTCTGGGGGGGATCCTTCCTTGTGGCTTTGGCAGCCGGAGCCTTCTCCAGATCATCTCCCTGCCTTTTGAGAAGCTTGGAGAATGATCGAGGGATTCTTTTGGCGGACTCCTGAGAAAGAAGCAAAATATAAGTATACCCAACCGGTATGTTAAAAAAAAAAAAAAAAAATGCAAACATAAAGTCAGGCGGTCTTACCCCGCCTTTCTTCGTAGCCTCGACGGCTGCCTTTTTGACAAGGGTCGCCTCCTTGCGCAGTTGCGCCGCAGATTTAGCAGGAGTCTTATCCTGGTCAACCATCCTCAGGGCTTCTTCTGCAAAAACAAGAATGTCAAGTTAGAAAGAATTAAGGCAAGTTTGCAATAAAAATAAAATGACAATCATTCCGGATGAGAAGTATTCTACCCCTGGAAAACATCGTACTCAGTCCGCAGGCGGACAAGAAGCACTCATCTTTGAAGAAGTCCGAATGGGGGATCCAGTTCTTGGGAACTATGATGTGAGTCCCATCCCCCATGGGCTCAGTGTTGTCTCAAAAAATCCCGGCTCCATGATTTGCTCCCGGGCTTTAGTAGATAGTGCCGGGAGAGGGCATTTACGTCCAAGAAGAGCCGACTCAGTGTTATACCGGCGTAGTGTCCGGTTGTGTCTTAGGGTTGGAGAGGAAATCAAATAGAACTTGTCCTTCCACTCGGACCACTTGGACACTTTGTCCAAAGTCATCAGATATTGGGGCAGGGTAGTCAGCGTATACCATGCCCCATGGCCGCCTGGAGCCTTGCTCAAGTAGTGCATGTGAGCGAAGGCAGAGAAGCTGGGGTTCAAGTTTTGGAACTCGCAGGCGGCAATGTAACTTAATATGTTCACCCACGAATTAGGGGTGAGCTGCCAAACCCCCAGATCATACCCCTTAAGGATTTTCCTAATCCCGAGGTGGAGGGGGAACCGGAGGCCGACTTCTATTACCGCCTCATAGCAGATGAAGTAGTCATCTGCATGGTCAATGTCATCCCCCAAGGCCATCACAACATCAGCCGGAGGGACAATAACCTCCCAACCCTTTCCAAATGGATGTTTCTCTTTAAAAGCCCTGAACCCGCTATTAAGAAGGGCAATGTTACTCGGCAGCATCCAGGTTCTTTTGGGGTTGGGATAGTCAGCAACTTTGGGCGGCTGCTGATAGTCAGCCGCAAAATCTCCTTGGTCAGAGCCGGAGGATTCCGCTCTTGGTCCCTGGCCGGCTTCAGCGTCGCCAGCTTCATTTGAGGAGGCGGCTCCTTCGCCGTCCACCTCTCTTAATCCCGAGCTCCCGGAGGTAGAGGGAGCCTCTTCGTCAGATCCGCTCTCCTCCAAATTCCTCGGATCCCCTTCCGGGAAAACCTCATCGGCTGGCACTCTCATGGTGCGCCGGCTTTTAGTCCGCTTGGCCGTTTGTTTCGTTTTGGCCATTGTGTCCTGCACAGACACAGAGAGGGAGGAATTCGGAGATGAGCATATTGGTTCCGGGGGATCGGCTGAGTGTCCTAGGCAGTGCCGAGTGGTTGGATTGGGAACTCATTTATATTTTCTATTTTCTAAAGAAAGCCGGGCATACAGGCGAAAAAAAGAAAAATGGTATGTAAATTGAAGGGGAGGAAAGCTAAAATGGTACAGGCGGTTACCTTGCTTTGACTCTGGAAAATCTGAAAACCGCTACAGCCGGTGAACCGGGTGATGTACTGCTAGCACTCGGAAGCTTGAAACTTGTTGTTATGCAGGTGGGAGCAGAGAAAACTCTCTCTAGAAATCTCTCTTTCTCTCTCAAAAAAGTCAATATGAGCGTAAAGTGTGAAAAGGAGGGGGGGTAACTTTCTATTTATAGAAAGTAAAAGCGGGGGGAAAATTTTGATTTGAAATTCAAAATTTTACCCGTTACTGTTCACCTATGAAAGGTGGATACGTGTCACAGGCCCCACGTGACATGCACGTGCGACCTGTGAGGGGCAAATGTTTAAGGTATTTTTACCCTAGACACGTGGACCAATGAGAGGTCGCCACGTGTCGAGCTCAGGATGGCCCATGTGGCTCAACATCTTCTTGACACTTGGCGCCTTCAGATATGTCTCTGAAATAACGGCTTTCAAAGGCCCAAACTCTTAGGAGCGCCGTAAAACGGCGCAGCCCACTAAACCCTAGGTCAAGTGACGTAGGTAGGGGCACATTTTCCAACGACCCTATAAATAGGGAGATATTTCCCCATTTTGGGGACACATTCAATCATTTATTACACCCTTATTCTCTTACATCAGAGAAAGACCTGAGCTTGGAATCCAATCAGATACCCACCTAGTTTCCGTTCTTTTTATTCCGTTTCAAGTTACTAACTTGTGCGTCGGAGGCGGAGCACCACCCAACCGGTGTCTCCGTTTGTTTTGCAGGTACAGCTCACTGCGGATCAGTCTTCGTGTTGTAACTCTCCTAAGGGACAAAAACACCCAAAACAAAAGCCATCCATGGATTCAACACTAAATCCATTACAAGTAGCAACTTCACCCAATTGGTTATCCTCTTACAAAAGGTTTAAAAGAGATTTTTCTCAGGTAAAAAAAAGTTTTCCACTAAGTGAAAAGGAAGATCTACAAGGATGGGGACCAAGATCAACCAAATCAAGCTAAAAGGTTAAAAGAACTCCTACAGCAATTCAAGGAAAGCCAAGTGTTCCCTAATGAGCAAAAAGAAATGTATATACACAAACTGTCTCACAAAGATGGTAGAGAAGACATTTGACCCCAAATAGCATAAAAATGCAAAACCAAGTTCCATAGCCAAAAAATGTACTTCACCACACTCCTTAAAGGTGCAACACAAACTACCCCAGCTACACTGGAAAAGCCTGTGGTAAATACTACATTGATACTACAACGACACTTAAAACAATTAATCACTACAGGTGCTTTCATTAAAAAAAAAAAATGACTGCTGTCACCCATGACGGTGAGAGGGAAGAAAAAAAAAATAGGGCTGAAAGATAAGATCTAGTCAGTCTATCCTATGGCAACTGAGATAGAATATTAAAAAAAAAAAAAAAAAAAAAAAAAAAAAAAAAAAAAAAAAAGGACTGCAGTCACCCAGCAAGTACAGAAAATATCAAGGAAAGTAACCAAAAAGGAATTGAAATATATCAAGGAAAACATAAAAGATGAGACATAAGAATATACCCTCTGGAATGGAACATTTAAGGATATAAAGAGTATCCATTCAGCAAGAAAAAATGACAATTTTAGAGAAAGTAACAAGGTACAAAATGAAAATGAAACAAATATATACCTGAGAAATCACAAACTCAGTGTTGTTTTTAAATCGGTGTTTTAGTTCATGCTCCGGTTTTTCCAAAAGCTTTTCAGCACCACCGTTACTTATGCCCGATATAATAGCAATTAATGCTGTTGCATCAAAATTGACTATGTCATAATCTCCTAAGGGGTCTTCTCTTCTGCAAGATGGCAAATCTTCATCATCCAAAGGCCAAGCTTTCATGTTCAGAATTAGATAAAGGAATGAAGATCCCAATTCCAACTCATTGTATGTCTCTGCAAACTCTTCATGAACATTACTAGTACTCAACTCTGCTACACTATCAATGCTTTGACAAGGCGTTGCACATTGATCAACATCCATTATCAGAATGCATGCCCCTTGATATGATTTTCCAAGAACATTGACCCATTCACCTTCTAATGCATCAGAGAAAACAAAGTCAAAATGTGAAAAATCCAAGTTGACTTCTCTAAATCCAAAATTCATCAACAGCTTCTCACGAATTGTAACGTCTAGTCCATTTGCGAAGAAGAGAACAATAGAAACAGGCTTCAGTACCAAGGAAACCTGAGCAGTGCTAACTATTTGTTCAATCCGCATTTTCAGACCCTTGTTTCTCTCTGAACTATCCCAAGTAATGTACTTTGGGTTCCGATCAGATACAATAAACCAGGTGGGATTATTATGGAGACTGCAAACAATATCAACATGTACAGCTTCACATTGTGAATTGGTTTTCTCCCTATGGCCAGTTGTAGGTGACAAAGGAATAGGTTTGCACACACGTGACACTCCCATTATGTATGGCTGCTAAAGTATGTGAACAATGGCCTCAAAATAGCCCACATTACAACTGCAAAAAGAATGCATAAACCTTCCACTTAATAATGACAACATGAAGCTGCTCATCCAAAAGCATTATAATATATTGTATATAATTGTGTGGGTAGAATGCATATAAGATGATGGATGGATGTAAAAGAAAAGGTGTAAGTGATGCCAAACAGTTGACAAAAGACATCTCAGCCTTGAAATTACAATGACATTGACATCTTACACTGATTACTCAATCCATTTGACATTTTAACGGTTCTAAAAATGTAAAAAGGATTAAAGGAAGTTTAGTTTAATGTTGAAATCAATGAATGAAATAAGTCCAAGGTGCACTGAAGCAATTAAAATCCGTGAAAAAACAATTGTGAAAATAAAAAATAAAAAATTGTGCACCTAGCCCTATGCATGTGGTGTTAAAATCGCCTCACCTAGAAGAAAAAAATAATTAAAAATTAAAAAAAAAAAAAAAAAAGGATAATCCCGGTGCTTACTCAAAGCACATCATATCCAATTATCCATAGTATCCTTAGTAATGTATCACTACAAGCTTCATTCATGTTGAAATCCACTAAAACTCAACCTTCTTAGCTTTATATATTACAGAAAGTACAGTATTACAATCCTCTCCATTGTCAAGTTAGCACCACGCCACCACCACCCATATTGTTCCCATATGCCCCACTTTAGCCAGTTTAAGACATATACAGTCTTATTCTCACAAATAATGAGGCAATTTCGGATATACCCGCCTTTTACAACCAACTACTTCTCTTTTTTCCACATATTTATTGGTAAAACCTCCTCATTAATGTAATTTTGCACAGCCTTTCCTAACAAATATTTGTAAATCAACATATTGCAAAAGTACAACAATTAATTATTGCATTCTAACAGCCCATTTGGTGTTGATTATAAATAATGTGATGTTAAGTACAATTTAGCAACTAAAGTAGCATCTTAATGCCAATACTAATGCAATCCCATCTCCAACTTGTAATTTTTTTCACATATCTCCATTAACATCTAACACCCACCAATGGCAAGCAATAATAATTAAAATTTGTGAAGAATAACATTGATTTTTCTTATAAATTTATAATTATATAAATCTCACATCACCGTAGTTTATTACTGCTTACAAAAAAAAAGGGTCCTTATTAAAATTCATAACGCGCATCATGCTCACGAAAGAACATACATACATGTACTTCGTATACTTTTCCAATCAAATTAGATAGTTCGAATGTATTATCAAATGGAATTGACGGAATAATAATGATTACATATGCTAAACAAATAAATAAGAAAATACAAAACCCAAAGCAAAAACATTAAATAAAGTTGTATAAAAGAAGGAAAAGAGAAGAAGAAAACCTGAATGATGAAGAAGGGGTTGAAGTAGAAAGAGAAAGACGACAAAGAAATCTGAGCTCAGAATTGACGAGACGAAGAAGAGTGCCCTTGCAAGAGGTAGTGATTTTGGAGAGTGGCAAGCGCTGGATTCTGTCCAACACTGCTTCGCATCTTCTGGTTGCTTCCATTGATTTGTTTTCGGTCAAGCCTCCCACCATTGACCATACTGGGTTCAACGGAAACATGTTCATAATCGCAAGGGTAAATTTACGGTTTTTTCAGCACATATCCTTGATTTTTTTTTTATTCACCATACCCACCAAAATTTTCAAATTCACCTAAGTTGTTACAAAAATTCACTATATACCCCTAATAAAAATAAGATGAGTTGAATTTTGTTAATTATACCTCGAAACCACCTTAACATCTCTCCCCCTCATCTCTGAAACCAATTCTCTCCTTTTTCCAGCCCCTAAAATCACTCCAAATCTCCATAACCATATTTGTATGAATGTTTTTGAGGATGAGAAAAGAAAATTTAGGTGGTTTTGGTGGTGGAAAAAAAGGAATGTGGGCAGGGATGGCAATGGATCTGGACCCGACCCGGATCCGTGGATCCAGATCCGTTTTTCACGGATCTGGGTCTTCAAATTTTGGACCCGGCGGATTCGGGTCGGATCCGGGTCCTGCTGACAAAAACGGATCTGGATCTGGGTCTGGGCCCTAGACCCGGATCCAGATCCGTAGACCCGTTTTTTTAATTTTTCCTATTAAAAAAACTAAAATTGTTTGTTTCTTTATTAAAAATGTTGATAATGTTAGTAATGATAAAGATTAACCCTTTCAAGAGATGAATTTTGGATGCTCATATTATATACAGCATCGTTGTTTTTTCACTAGCTTATATGTAACATCGTATTTTTTTTTTATGTTTATAATTTTTATTCAAAATATGAGTGTATAAGTTGGTTAATTTGGGGTTGAACTTAATTAATAACCAACAACGTAAGTTTGAAATAATTTTTTTGACCCGAACATTACATTTATTGCAAAAAATTAGGCAAAATATATTGGACCCTTTTTGGACCCGGATCCGTTGGACCCGATGGATCCGGATCCGGGTCGGATCTGGATCCTATATACCAAAACGGATTTGGATTCGGGTCCATCCGGACCCGGTCCAGATCCGACCCGTTGTCATCCCTAAATGTGGGTGGTTTTTGGGTGATGGAATGTATTTAGGATGGTTTTAATTCATAATTAACTTTAATGATTGACAAAATTAACAATCATTAATCATCAATGGTATATGTTTATATTTGTGAAAACTTGAGGGTATATGATGAATTTAAAAAAGTTCAGGGGTATACAGTAAATAAAAGAAAAACTCAGGGGCATATGATGAAAAATCCGGTAAATTTATATACTACATCCGTTACAGGTTATATAAATTTATCGCAAGGGTAAACTTATCGTTGCACCTAATCTGTAACGCATGTAGTACTATCTTGTTTCACATTAATTGCAA